ACAGGAGATAAAATTCAAACTTCTTTCTGGCATTTAAGCAACTTACCTAATTTAACCCCCAACTGGATTAATAGTTTCTTAGGGTTATGGTAGCATGACTGGAGGGAAATGGGGAGGGGAGCAAACAATAATGAAACAAAAAAGGAGAAAATGTTCTAAAATTGATTATGGTGATGATTGCACAACTCTTTTTAATGTGATAAACCATTGGATTGTATGATTTGTGAATGATACAAGGGAGTACCCAAAAATACCTGGATAAAAGCTCTGCCAAGCAGAACTTTCATAATATGCAATTTTCTCTGCTAAGCGAGCATCGAGCAACTCACTCAGTTAGTGCACTATGTGACACAGGGTTCTCTAGAGAAACAAAACCAGGACACTAATAATTTTATATATATTTAGATAGCTAGATAGATGATAGCTAGATAGATAGATAACATAAGAAATAAACAGTTAACTAAACTATAAAGCACTACAAATGTCTCTGTGCAACTCACTCCCGTGAGACAGTTGTGAGACATTGGCAGTCCTTAAGTCTTGAGGGCCGCCAGGTAGTCCTCTATAGAGCAATTCAGGCTACCCGGGCACAGGTAGCAAACAGCAAGGCAAGTCACCAACAGCCAGCCAGATGACAGGGTCCAACAGTCCCCAGCTCAGGAGATGTATATTCCAGTAGCTTGGCGAAGCAGGTCTTGAAGGAACCTCAAATTACAGCGACACAGTCCACAGGTTAGGTGTCCCATAGGTAGTGTAGCTTTCAAATAGAGGCAAAGAACAAGCAAGGCAGCCGCACACTCATCTGATGATCAAAGAGCAAGAGACAAAAGAAGCAAGGCTCACTGAGCCATTTATCTCTCCGCCCTTCAATTAATCCCACATGTGTTTATTGGCCAGGTTGGCACAATAAACCTTAACTGTCTCATGCACCCAGTGGTGTTGCCTGGGAAGTTTCTCTCTGACCACAGTGAATTTTTTTATAAAAGCAGTTTCACTCAAACCTCATTTTTTGTGATGGCTGATTTAAGAGAACAGGGTGAGGCTGTGAAATTTTGTTTCCTGCTGGGGGTAGGGTGGGGGTGGGAATGCCACAGAAACTGCTGTGATGTTGAACACAGCTTACGATGAAGTGCTATGGGAAAACTCAAATGCATGACTGATTTTCTTGCTTCATAAAAGGTGAAATGTTGATTGAATGCCAAACTTCATTCTGGATGTCTATCAACTTCCCGAAAGGATGAAAATGTTGACTTGGAGTACATTTGGAGTTGGTTCCACCAGGTCAGACTGTTAATCAAGCTTTCTATTTAGAGGTTGCATTACTGGACAACAAAAAAGGCCTGATTTGTGGCAGACTGGTTTTGCCAGTGGGGGGACTGGTTTTGCCACCACAACAATGCACCTGCTCACACAGCCATCTCAGTATGTCAATTTTTGGCAAAAAACAGCATGCCTCTCTTGTCCCACACACCTTACTCACCTGACCTCGTTCCATGAGGTTTCTTTTTGTTTTCTCAAATGCAGAGGGACATGAAAGGA